AGTGGGTGGGGAAATGGATACAGACTGGCCAATTTGATACTGTCTTACCCCCACCAAAAGATCTGCTTGGAGATTAGTTTAGCACCAAGGACAGGTTTGCATCTGTGTGGGAGGTGTTACTAGTATTCTACCACGGAATGGAGTCCCCGAGAAAATAAATGAATTTACAGTAATAGGAAAATTGGACAAGAGTGTTATGTTTCATACTATGGTCACATAATAGCTTATTCGTGAAAACGTTTATTGGTGATAACAGGAATACTCAAGTACCCTGTAGCCATTCCAGGCCATTCCAGTGCTGACACAATTTCGACCGCTGATTCAGCATTGGAACACCAGTGCGTAGGGCATTACTTTTGTACATTTGCCTATCATATCCCTCCTACCTACTCTTGGCCTCGTAACACTTTTGTTTTACCCTAAAAATCGCATAGAATTTGACCAAAACACACAGGGCAACAACAACCACATCCCACGCACTGTTCGGGTCAGAGGTCACACGTGTGCACAGTCTAAAAGCGTCCCTTAGCGGTTTATTGACAAAGTGTAGCTCTTAAGATCGGTGTAGTGTTCACTAACACTGGGTTGACATTTCGTTTCCTCGCGTCTCTGTTAGTTACTCACGCTTAAAAATAAGACAGGTATACCTCATTATGATGGTATCAAAGAAGTCATCATACTTTCTATAAACGAAAGAAGAGCTAGACATAGATCCAATCAAGGGACGTATTAATCCAGTATTTTCTCGTATTTTTTCTATTTCAGGATCATTGATTTCACCCTCATTGAATAGTATATTTATATATATTTGATTGACCCATGTTCAGAGAATTAAAGCCTACGGAGCAGAGTGTCTTTTTATCCTCCTGGAGATACATTCACTGGAACACACAAATGCGCCCCCCAGCGGTTGCTTAGCTTAACTCGTGGGGGACAGTCAGTGCCACAATCTCTTTTCGTAATTCTTTCTTTTTGCATCATTAACTTTAAGGAGATTAATCTACAATAGTCCGGAGAGTATCTACGGAAATTTAAAGTACAACTTACCACCAAAGCGGACATGGCTCTTCTTCCTGGGTGGAATTTTTACCCGCTCGTTCTTCCTGCACTCTCGCCATCTTGGTACAGCATGTTTCACGCACACAGGTGCTACCTAGCTATAAATAATGAGCAAAATCTGATTTCAATAATCAAGTTAACGTAAGATTAATGACAGGGCAATAGGAAATCATCACAAAATACGATGATGACTTTTATCTTAAGATCTCGAGCCCTCGCGGATGTTGATAGTTAAATCCCAAATAGCCTCAAACCGCGGATGGAAGAAAATTAAAGCCTGGTGTTGGAAAATGAAGGTCACTTGCGTTAGTTGAATTCGTGAAGGTCACCTCTCATAAAATGACTCTACAAAACGATAAACCAACAGTCTTTCAGGTAACCGCAGGGTGGTTGTGGTCTACTTTGTTAAAGGGCAGATGTAAGTTGAGTAAACCTGAAGAAAACACCGTCACAGCTTGTTCCGTGTTATTTTTTCCCCATTATCATTCTCAAAAGGATCGGGACCGTCTCCTGTGGCTAAAAAGTATTAAATCTCCAACCAGATCTTTTGCAATATGGTAACAAATTCGCCAGGCAGTATCCATTTACCAGAAAGCCCGACAAAAATACATAAAACACGTAAAAAATTAGCCTCTATCAGGCTTCGGGGGGCGGCTGAAAAGAGTAGAAATTGGCCTAATAGAGATAACATGCCAAAGGAGTTGGTTCGCTAGAGAAAACAGTTTGCCAATTTCTACTCTTTCCATCCCCCTCCCGAAGCCTGGAAGAGGCTAGTCAAAAATAAGTGAAGCCGAAACCTAACCTCTGCTTGGAGAGTAGCTGTTGTGAAGAACTCAGCTGATGGCCTCTGAAGAGACTTTCCAAGGACACGTGTTCCAGATGGCTTCTCTCTTCAGTTCTTCAACTTACAATACTGTTACATGTTACTGTACTCTCTACCGCACGACTCCATTCATTCCCCTTTCACCTTACTATTTCGAGGATTAGGCCAAGGATGATTGATGAAAAGGTACTGAGATCCCATGGATACTATTGTAGCAGTTTTTCTACCTCACAAAAAGTACCGGCAATACTCCACAAATTATTCCTGTAAGCGCTTTCCCTTAGTAACGGGGATAGTGGTACTGAACCATATTATTCCAATCTCAACACATCCTTGTCAGTTTTCAAATTTGTATTCACGCTTAAATTCATCCAAATTTGCCATTGTTTTGGCCACGTTTCACCTTGCGCAAAGCTACAAAATTGCCTTGCTATTAACTTTTGGGCTGCCATTACACTCTCCAAAGCTCCGATAGACAAATATAGAACTGATACGAGTTCGGTCTAGCTTATGCATTTTGCAGATGACCTCAAAGTCAAGTGTAGCCTGGAATAATTTCCTTGCCAGTTTCATCGGCACGTAACGCTGCATGAATAATCCTCAATGTAACTGTGGCTAGACTGAATAATAAAACGTCTCCATGTTCCCGTGAGAGCTTTGATCTATCCCCAAGACCACTTCAAAGAGTAACACTTCAACCCAGGATCCTTCAAAGTTGCCCACACTTCAAGATGTAGGTCCCACTTTGTTCTGGTCCCTCAAGGCGTCAACTTCGAGAAGCACGCTTTTAAGACGCCCTGCCCTCGGAGCACTTTCCCTTCCAGACGTCACATCTTTCAGAGAAGAGGTCAGAAGTGAAAACGGATGCCTTGGTGATAAAACCATGCTCCCCTCCCCACTTTGACGCCAGCCCATTCAGCACACCCTATATTTTAACATAGCTATAGGTTATTAAGAGCAAATGTCTGTAAGGATCAAACAATGGTGGCAGGGGTCAAAAAATCGATTTGGCTCAAATTTTGCACAGTGGTAGTACTTGGCCCACAACCCCTCAAAATAGCTTTCTTTCTGCTCCACACCGATCGTTGCCATGGTAACGGGCCAAACATGTTTTGGGGCCATTTTCCCTGATTTGGGCATGTCAAAAACATGAAAATTACCAAAGTTTAGGACGCGATTACAAACAAATGCTTGAATATATCGGAAAGACAAAAACTGTGCTGAAATCACCAACTTATCTGCTTTTCTAAAATAGCTTTAAACTTTTCCAGAGGTCCGTTTAAAGGGCCTGGGCATCCCTAAGACAATACAGTGTTTTTGGCTTGTGAAATATTCCTATTTCTGCCCATTTTTGAAGCGCTGTAACTCCAAAGATGGTGATTTTTTTTCTTTCATATTGAAATCACAGATACATAATCATATGTGCTATAAAATGCATGTTTGCAAAGTTTGGCCAATTGTTTGGTTCTCACGTGGTTGTCCTCTGAAGTAGGTCATATTTTACATTTCAAGAAAAATACCAAATTTTGTCATATTTAAGATGCAATATATACAATATGAAAGCAGAAATCTAATAATGCTTTGCACAATATGTAACCCTATTGATTGTCTATCAAATGCATGCTTGTGGAGTTTGGAGTCTTGTTTTGTTGCTGTGTACTTGTCCCTGAAAGTAGGCCATATTTTCGACATGTGGTAAAATTAAAATTTTCGGCTGTCTTCCAGGCCCTATAACTGACAAAGTGGAGTATTATTGGAACTCAATATTTGTAGGGTATTACATACATGTATTGGGTATGGAATGAATTCTTGTTGAGGTTGGACTCTTGTTTCGTTGCTGTGTACTTGTCTCTGAAAGTAGGCCATATATTGGACATGTGCTAAAATTAAGATTTTGGTCAATCTTTGAAGCTCTATAACTAACAAAGCTAGGATGTTGTTTCCTTCAATCTTTGTAGGGTAGTAGATACATGTATTGTGTATCAAATGCATGCTTGTGGAGGTTGGCGTTTGTTCGATGCTGTGTACTTGTACCCTGAAAGTAGGCCATACTTTGGACATGTGACTGAAATTATCGTTTTTGGCTAACTTTAAAGCTCTATAACTGGACAAAGTAGGATTTTATTTCAATTCAATCTTTGTAGGGTAGTACATACATGTATTGTGTATCAAATGCATGCTTGTGGAGGTTGGAGTCTTGTTTTGTTGCTGTGTACTTGTCCCTGAAAGTAGGTCATTTTTGGACATTACAGAAATTAGCATAATATATGGCTGTGTTTGAAGCTATAGAAATGACGATGTAGGATTTTATTTCAATTCAATCTTTTAAGGGAAGTACATATATGCATTTTGTATCAAATGAACTTATGGAGGTTTGGGTCTTGTGTCATTATTGTGCACTTGTCCCTAAAAGTAGGCCATATTTAAGCACATACCGGTCTGCGCTTGAAGCCCTATACACGCCAAGGTAGGATGTTATTTGAATTCAATTTTCTAGCAGAAGTAACTTTATCAATTGTGTATGAAAATGAAGGCCTATAGAAGGTGGGTTCTTGCGTAGTTGCTCTGTACTCCAAAAGTAAGCCATAATTAGGACATATTCTATTGTTTCTTTGTAGCTGTCCCCGAAATTGGAAATATTGCTCACGTTTCTATATATTATATATATAGTTCTGTGTCGTTTGAACATTTGAAAAAAAATTCTCCTTGATTCAAAATTTGAAAAACCAAATCATGTGTCTTCGGTGTTTTATTATTTTCAACACAATTCTCCCTAGTGTGGTTGCTCACATTCTTGAATCTTTATAAAATGTCAAAGTGATTAAAACAATGATTTGTTTTTGAATAAAAGGGATTTTTTCAAATGTTCAAACGACACAGAACTATATAATTATATAATATATAGAAACGTGAGCAATATTTCCTAATTTCGGAGACAGCTACAAGGAAACAATAGAATATGTCCTCATTATGGCTTACTTTTGGGGACAAGTACAGAGCAACTACGCAAGAACCCACCTTCTATAGGCCTTCATTTCATACACAACTGATAAAGTTACTTCTGCTAGAAAATTGAATTCAAATAACATCCTACCTTGGCGTTTATAGGGCTTCAAGCGCAGACCGGTATGTGCTTAAATATGGCCTACTTTTAGGGACAAGTGCACAATAATGACACAAGACCCAAACCTCCATAAGTTCATTTGATACAAAATGCATATATGTACTTCCCTTAAAAGATTGAGTTGAAATAAAATCCTACATCGTCATTTCTATAGCTTCAAACACATGCACAGCCGTATACTATGCTAATTTCTGTAATGTCCAAAAATGACCTACTTTCAGGGACAAGTACACAGCAACAAAACAAGACTCCAACCTCCACAAGCATGCATTTGATACACAATACATGTATGTACTACCCTACAAAGATTGAATTGAAATAAAATCCTACTTTGCCAGTTATAGAGCTTTAAAGTTAGCCAAAAACGATAATTTCAGCACATGTCCAAAATATGGCCTACTTTCAGGGACAAGTACACAGCATCGAAACAAGACTCCAAACTCCACAAGCATGCATTTGATAGACAATCAATAGGGTTACATATTGTGCAAAGCATTATTAGATTTCTGCTTTCATATTGTATATATTGCATCTTAAATATGACAAAATTTGGTATTTTCTTGAAATGTAAAATATGACCTACTTCAGAGGACAACCACGTGAGAACCAAACAATTGGCCAAACTTTGCAAACATGCATTTTATAGCACATATGATTATGTATCTGTGATTTCAATATGAAAGAAAAAAAATCACCATCTTTGGAGTTACAGCGCTTCAAAAATGGGCAGAAATAGGGATATTTCACAACCAAAAACACTGTATTGTCTTAGGGATGCCCAGGCCCTTTAAACGGACCTCTGGAAAAGTTTAAAGCTATTTTAGAAAAGCAGATAAGTTGGTGATTTCAGCACAGTTTTTGTCTTTCCGATATATTCAAGCATTTGTTTGTAATCGCGTCCTAAACATTGGTAATTTTCATGTTTTTGACATGCCCAAATCAGGGAAAATGGCCCCAAAACATGTTTGGCCCGTTACCATGGCAACGATCGGTGTGGAGCAGAAAGAAAGCTATTTTGAGGGGTTGTGGGCCAAGTACTACCACTGTGCAAAATTTGAGCCAAATCG